TATTCTGGTTATGGTTATCAATCTTGTTGCCTACACAAATCTGGATTTTGCTTTTCACTTTTTTTAAAAAATTGCTAGGGATGGAGAAGAAAAAAGCGTAGTGGCAGGTTCCAACTTTCCTCATAAGCATGTTCTGTACCAGAAGTGCATGTACCTGCCTGGAGGCGTCGGAATTCATTTGTATCATCTGTTTTGGAGTTTGTTTCATTTTTGGATGTCTATGGCCCAGGTGTGTTAATGTTGAAAGGTGTTGAAAAGCGGGCGATATCATCCTAGCAAATTGGGCTGGCTAGTGGTAGTGGCATTGTGAGTGTTGCTACTCTTTCTGCTTGTTTTTTTCCCCTTGTGTATGTATTATTCTTTATTTAGTTAGTGTTATACCATTGCTCGGGCATGTACCGAGTATCTTCAGCAGTCATAGATGGGTTTGTACAACTTCCGACGATGTAATATAACCATTGAGAACAAAAGTCTTAGAAGTCGTTCAATGTTCATTCTTCTGTGTGCTTTTATATTGTTGCCTTTTTACCGAATTCTGTTTTTGCCATGTTGACATGCAAAAGCATTCCAAGCCCTGCTACTCGAAAGATCATTCGAATTGATGATTCCTGATGCGAGTTTTTTCTTTTCTTTTCCCGTGTAGGGTATGTTTGTGAAATGGTACTCGAAGGAAAAAAGAGTTGAGGTTTAATTTTAAGAAAAAAATATGTGCTTTTGCAATCAAATTATTTTATCACTCATGCAAAACAGCCAGGACAAGCTCAACCTCTCACTGGGCTTGTGATCTTGAAGCGTTGTTTATGTTTTAGTTTGTGGTTACGGGAACATTCATTATGATATGGTTAAACATCGCGATGATGCTTCTCCTAGTGAAAATAAAAATAAAAATGGTGTTAGGTTCTATTCCCACGTAAAATCTCTAAGCAAATCAGGCTAAGAAACATATATAATTTTTTTTTTGTAGAAAAAATAAAAAAAATTATAAGTCTTAATATTTTAATTATTTGATTTTCCTGAATGAATTTACAGCTATATAAATCACTGCTGATTTTTGCTATTATTGATATGGCTACCACTACTTCAATATATAGACCAACAATCTTTTTCGTCAAGTCTTAGACTATTCCTTCAATATATAGACCAACAATCTTTTTCGATCTTTTTCGTCAAGTCTTAGACTATTTATAGACCAATAATCTTTTTTATCAAGTTTTAGACTATCCATTATCCAGATTTATAGTCAACATTTACGTTGCTTAGGCTGAAATGATCTCTACATCCAAGTCACTTGGATTTGATATAACTACTAAACCTAAATAACTTAAATCAGACATAACTATTAGATCCAAGTTACTAAATCTAGGCGTAAGTTTAGCAGACTCAAAAGCATGGGTATAGCAGACTTAGGCACAGGTCTGGTATGGATCTAAGCGTCATAGGTCTAACAAACCATTTCAGACCTTAGACGTGTTGGTTTAGCCTTGGTTTGGCAGACATAATAATATGCTTGGGTACAATAAACATGCCTAATTTGACAAACAACTAACAAAGAGGATAATTGTATACTTTAATTGTAAGGAGAGAAGGAAAAAAACATAAATAATCAATCACCGGCGATAATCTAACCATTATCTATCTACACGTGCCATACTATGTGGTAGAGGGCACAATTGCATATCTAGTGAGACGACAAATGGTCATATTTGACCACCAAGAAGCACCACACGCACCTTCTTAATAGAAGTGAGCACTGCCTGTTCGCTAGGGAAGAAAAAAAAGTCAAAGAAATGTCTAGTAAAAAGATGAAAAATTAAAAGTGAAACTACTATTACAATCTATAGTGAAATGTTTCTCGATCTATAATAATTTCTTCACATTGTTTAGCCTGTTTATTAAACCCGGCCTGATAGGTCAACCCTATGATTGGATCGGTTCGGGTTTAATAAAAAATCAACAAGGGCAACAACCTGGTCGATCCGGCGGGTCAACTCATGACCTGGGCAAACCCGGAAGAGGCTCGATGTTTTTTTTTAAAAAAATATAGGATTTGAAACCCATTAGTAAATATACTCTATATTACAAAAAAAAAAAGTTATGTTTTTTCAATGTGAAATAAAATTTTTTTTGGTTTAAATACTTCAACTTAAAAGAATAACATATTATATTTTCAATGTAGGATTTGAAATCCTTTTGTATATATACTCTATGTTCCCATGAAAAAAGTTTTCAATGTATAAAAAACTTTTTGGTTTAAATACGTCAACTTAAAGGGATAATATAATATCTTTTCAATGTGGGATTTGAAGCCCATTAGTATATGTACTATGTTTCTAAGAAAAAAGTTATATTTTTTCAATGTGAGGTTTAATTAAAATATATAGTATATATATTTTATGTTTTCAAGAAAAAAGTTATGTCTTTTCAGTATAAGATAAAAAGTTTTTAGTTTAGATACTTTAACTTAAATGAATAACATAACCATTTTTTCCATGTGAGATTTGAAACCCATTAATATATATATTTTATATTCCTACGAGAAAATTTATGTTTTTTTAATGTGGGATAAAACACTTTTTGGTCTAAATACTTCAACTTAAAAGGATAACACAGTTTCTTTTCAATGTGGAATTTGAATTTCAATATGAGACTTGAAATCCTTTCGTATGTATATTTTATATTTTCAAGAAAAAAAATATATTTTTTCAATGTGGAATTTGAAATTTATTAGTATAGTATATTTCCAAAAAAAAGTTAAGTTTTTTCAATGTAAGATTTGAAACCCATTAGTATATATATTATATGTTCAAAAAAAATTATTTTTATAATGTGAGATAAAAACTTTTTTTGTTTAAATACTTTAATTTAAAAGCTTAACATAATATCTTTTTAATATGAGATAAATTTTTTTTTAAAATATTCTTTTAAATATCATTATTTACAATATGTATAACCTATATTTATATAGATTTTTTCTTAATTTTTTTATATGAATTATTAAAGTTTTAAATATTTTTAAAATTTTTCTAGATTGATTCGAGTTGTGCCAAATTGATCCATAAAACCAGCAATTCAATCCCTTAACCGAGTTAACCCTCAAATCAGATTTAATAACTATACTATTTAGCTTTTATTATAATTTCACAAATTGCATAACTTCACCGCAAAAGTAATTAAAATCATGTAAAGTGTAATTCTTACCTCTTAATCACTAAAAAATAAAAAGAAATCAACGAAGAACCAAGCTCTTCCTTCACTTCTTCTCTTCTCCCAGAATGTTCTCTCTATACCCAATAAACCCTATAAATTCTTCAATTTCTCTAACTTAAGTCTCATTTAAATTTCTTTTGATCACTAAAACTAACCCTCTTTGATGTAATTTTGATTTAATGAAATTTAACCAAGAAAACCCTGAGCCCCCCTTTGTTTTCCAAAGTCACTGGACATAAGTGAAAGGGAGGGGCATTTATAGTTAATTTTTTTACTATTTGCTGTTTGATCCTGTTTTGCCTTCTATATTTTATTTTGTCCCCACAAGATTTTCTCTTTCTACAAACTTAGTGTTATTTGTCCTTCTTTTTATTCAATTTCACCCTTTCTTCATTTAATTCAATTTTTATTTTGAAATTAACCCTTGCATTACCAAGTTAATTGTTATGTACTTCACTAGTATCGTGAATTCTTTTAACTTGGGGTTTACAAACTGCAATCTCGACCCATTTTTAAAATAATGTACACGAAGTTTTAAATCTTTAAGAAATCATTTCAATCTATTTAATATCTCTTTATTTATTTCCTAATTAATCCATTTTATTTGGGTTTACAAATTCTAACCTTAGGTAGTGCCACATTATACCCAATGATATGGCTGTCATGGTTTTCCATGACCTCCCCACGATTATAAATCTTTGCTTAGCTCTTGTGGTTTGTTCTTGCCATTGCCTATGGTTTTCAGCTATAAAGTCTTAAAGTTCTTAATGAAAATACTTCGTGTTTGTTCATCAAGCCTTGTATTATGCTCTTTTAGTGCCTTAATCCTGTTGCTTTTCATCTTGGTTCACCTTTAGAATTGCTATAGATCTTAAGATTCTATTAGTGACCAAGGGTTTCAAGCTCTAATATCAATTTGATATGGTCTTGATCAGTCCTTAGCAAGTAATATGTATATACTTAGAATTGGAAGAAGAATAAGAGAAATAATAGATAGAACATGGCAGAGACAGAACTGCTCAAACAAACTAGAATTTTATCAGTTGAATTACAAGTTTTTGTATATTGATTCATTTATACAAGAATCCATCTTCTCTAACTAATAACCAAACTTGTGATTAACTGCTAACTAATCCAACTGGATGACTATCTAATTAAAATTTCCATGTGTAATTTTCTTGATCTAGTTATAGAATTGCTTAACTTCCCATGACAAAGACTATATATAGTTCCTTCGATTAGACAAAACTTTCCCTGTACGAGCTACATTCTCAACAGTAGTAATGAGCTTGCAGATTCCAACAGCGACCGCATTATTCATACTGGACTTTGACTTGACACCATAATGAAATTAAAACATTCTCACTAATTATAGTAATATGCCTAGTGGAGATTTCATGGAGGAGGTTTAAGGTGCCCGTGTTTAACTTACTGATATTCCAGACATGCTTGCAGACAACCTATGGTAGAAAGCAATTATGCAGCTGGATATTGTAATTTCAGCATCAGTTCCTTTCCTTTTTGGCTTTCATTTTGACAATCCCTGAGACTTTGTCTCATGAGGGTTGGTGCTTGGTTAATGATACTTGCCGAGCATCATGTTGATATTTTGTTTGCGTCTACCTCGTATGTTAAGAAGGCTCTCTGGTTGTTCCTTCTTTATTTCTCTTTTTCAACTATTATATAATAATTATGTTTCTCTTAAAACGATCTTTTCCTATTCCTTCAACTTGGATTTTCAATGAGTAAGAAAATATTCTTTGTGAAATAACTTTTTTTTTCAAACCGCAACATTTATTAGCAGTATCTAGCCATTCATTTATTGCCTGTGATCTGAAAGCTATGTTTATGTTCTAGTATGTGGTGATGAAAATATCCAGAATGATAGCTATGTTTATGTTCTAGTATGTGGTGATCAAGATATTCAGAATGATAAGGTTAAACATCAAGATGACGCACCTCCCAGTAGAGGGAAAAAATAAATAGTGATTGTTGGGTTCTATTCCCACTGAAAACTTCCGAGCAAATCAAGCTCAGAGACATTTACGGTCTTTCCCTCAGGACTGACCATATCATACGGCGAATCCTCAGAAAATTCAGTCGGCATTGCCTTCCAATGAAGACTTGGTTCCCAGGTGGCCTCTTTGATGACTTTCAGAATCTCCTTGACGACTATCTTGTTCCCCTCAGGTGCAAAATGGACTCCATCCCTGCATACAAGTATCAGAGATCAGCATAAGATAGGAGAGAGTACTCAAAATGGATTTGGCTGGGGTTTGATTAATAAAGCCTGAAACCGGAAGTGATCTCTGGTTTTGTTTCTTCTTTGTTTTTCAGCTGGAATATTAGAAGATAAACTTACGTCAAGCAAGCAGTTTCCCAATTATCAATTTGCTGCATTGCAGTCCAAAGATCAATTGCCTTCAGGTTCATCTCACGGCACACCTCTAAACATGCTTCTGAATATATCCGGCAGGACTCATTTGTTCGAACCATATCTATTAGATCACTGTTTGAAAAACAATGGATCCTCATTAGCATTGTCCAATGCATTGCAAACCAAAAACAAATCACAGAAACGACAGAATGAAAATAACGCACCTCAGATGGGCACGAATTTGTTCGTCACTGACAGGAGGAGCGGTGAGAAAGATGACGCGAGTCTTCTCCGAAAGGCTCTGGTAATCAGACAACAGTGTTAACGTCCCAAATTGCATGCACACGGGAAGTGGGAAATATTCAGTGTTCTGTCTAATAGTGCTTGAGGGTGCAATTCTGTGCTCCGGTGAAGCAACATTCTACTTTTCCAGCATATTACCTTGAGATGTATAGCAATCTTCCTGACATTCTCAATGTACTCAGAAAGTGGCACATGAGGACCAAGTCCAGATGCATGAGGGTGGATAGAATCGTTACCGCCAAAATAGACTATCACCAAGGAAGGTTGTTTGGCAGCATCCTTGATTGATAATCACAGAAAATCAGAATCCAAGCATGACTATAACAAGTTAATTAGCAGCAAAAGAAAAACCCTAAATAGAAAAGAAAACAAAACTGCAGGCAAATTCTTTAAGCTAAGACTACTCTGGTTCAGGTCTCCCTGTTGGTGACAAAAAGAATACACCTTTGGAAAAACTTGGTCAAGAATCTGCACCGCACGCCTTGAATTCCAACCGGAGTATCCTCGCAATACTATATCTGCCTGCGCCCATTTGTAAACCAAAGCTAGTCATTGCGAAGGAAAAACTTTATCCTATAGTAGTCATCACATCTAAGAAAAATGTATGGTAAAAAATAATGTCACTTTTAAAATTGGAATTCTTTTCTTGTGCTCCAGATTATAAGATAAAAAGGAAAGAAAAGAAGCTCCCTGGTGCTACACTCAATCACAGGAGATTGTTTATTAGGATAATTTTTGTTATTTCTTTATATATAGGTCTAATTAGATTACTTATTTGCATTTCAGGTTTGATTAAATTTTTTATACATTAAAAAAATATTCAAGTATTGTTAATATAATTTTTTTTAAATAATTTGTATAAAAATTAACTTGATAAGTCTAACGATAACTTAGACAGTTTTAAAAAACATAATTTAACTGGAAAAGTTTCAAAATTGTATTTTTTTTTAAATTTATAATCTGAATCACAAGACCGTGATAATCTCATAGAAAAAAAATCAAAATTTTTTTTGAAAGTCAATTCTCAATCAACGTAATGTTAAAGGATAAAATTAAAAAATAACAAAAAAACAAAAAAACTAGGTCAACAGTAGTTAACCTAATAATCTAGATTATGAAACTAAAATAACTTAATAAAAAATTGATCAAAACAAATTATGAATCTTAATTTTCAATCAATCTAATATTGAATAGTGAAATAAAAAAATTAATTAAAAAAGAAAACAAAATAAAAGATATGAGATAACTTAGATTAACCCGTCAAATTCGTAACTAGACCATGAAATTAAGATAACCTTATAGAAAGTATACCAAAAAAAATTATGAGGCTTAACTCTCTATCAACTTAATATTGAAGTATGAAACTGAAAAAAATAATAAAAAATAACAAAAGAACCCGAGTTAATCCATAGAAATCGTAACTTGAATTATAAAATTAAGATAATCTTATATAAAGTATATTAAAATAAATTATAAAATTTAATCCCCGATAAATCTAATATCAAAAAATAAAATTAAAAAAAAAACTAAATTTAAAAAAGCAAGAAAAGAAGAAAAACATGTTAAAATAAAGAAAATATTATGAGGAGGAGAAGAGTAATTTCATCCCCTCATTTAGTTTTTTTTTTTAATTCATAAACCATAAAGGCATAGAATTGCAAGCCACCATGAATCCATGTACTGTCTAAAAGATAAGAAATGTGGATCCCAGCAACATGGACATGAAACTTGTGTTGATAATCCACGTAAACCTTCTTAACGGCCCACGTATAAGCCACATGATATGTCGTTGGATCATAAGATTTCGCAAAATTCTCACACCACATGTATTACAATAAACAAAAAAACAAAAAAATTATATCTATTTATCTATCTTCCTTTTTTCGTTGCATAAAAATATTTCAATTCGAGATTTCTCGAAGGAGAAGAAATATATTGAAATGCAGCTCACAGACAAGGATAGTCATTTACGAGTTATATATGGTTCAATCAACTATTATTATATTATTCGAATTCAAATCCCCATGAAAAAGGAAAAAGGAAAAAGGAAAAAGAAAAAGGGAAAGAAGAACACCTTGCGAGCATAGATGTGAGCAAGAAGAGCACCCCAACCTTCATTGCTGTAGCTGAACTGAACTATTGATGATCCAAAGAGCACGAACTCTGGCCTCTCTGGTCCTACCATTTCTTTTCTTCTCTTTGTTTTTCTGTGATGAATCCTATATTTATAGAGCGTTTGAGTTTTCTTCTAGAATAAAGTGAGACAAAAAGTAAGGACGGCATCTTCTCGGCACTCTCTACGTTCAGAATTGAGATTATGGCCTTGGTGCTTTAGTGTTTTCTAGAAAATAAAGTTTTTAAAAATAAATTATTTTTTAATATTTATTAGTATAATAAAAAATAAATTAAAAAATACTTTTAGTATTTAGTGATCTTATAAAAAATGAATTGGAAAATAATTTATTAATAATTTATTTATTTTAAATTTATTATAATAATGAGAAATAAATCCTACCGATTAAAAAGTTAAATAAGAATAAAAATAAAAAATATATAATTTTATAAATTATCTTCAATAAAATAAATAATAATCAAAATAATAGAGAATAAGTCTAAAAAATAAAAAAATAAAAATAAAAATAATTAATATCTTATAAATTATTTTAAATAAAATAAGTAACAATATAAATATAAAGAATGAGAACTAAATTTAAATAATAAAAAATTTTAGTTAAAAAATAATAAAATAAATATTATAAAAATAAAGACTAGAATTAATATAAAAATAAAATTTTAAGAAATAAAATTGAAAAATAAATATTCAAAATAAAATATATATAGCAATCAAAAGTTTGAGGATCAAATTTGATATAATCAGTAAATAATATGATATTTTTAATTTTTTTATAATTTCTAGAAAGTGTTTTTTACTCAAGATAAAATAAAAATATTTTTAAAAAAATCAAATCAAATTTTTCTTTGATTAAAAAATATTTTTTATCAATCAATTATTTTAAAATAAATAAACATAAAAATAATTTTATAAAAAACTACTTCACAAAAAAACAACTATTTTATAAAAAACAACCACAATTTTCTATTTTTCTTTTAAATTGAAATAGCGTTAAGATAACCGTCGGGTGTTTTGAATTTCAATGTCAAATAGGTGGCGACGAGCTCCTAAATTACAAAAGCGTTAATTGGCTCTTTCTTCAAAACCACTGACGCGTTTATTGTATTGAAGAGAGAGAAACAGAGAGAGAGGCCATTGGCACGCTTCTTCGAATTGTTATATTAAATACCTACACTGTCCTTACTTCAAACTTTAAACAATAATTACAGAAAATACTAAAAGAGTTCTTTTTGCAGCTAGCCCATCTCATAATTCATTACGGATTCGTACAGTAAATTTATCAAATTATTTTTGACAGAGAAACTCAAAAGCTGGCTTTAAAGGTGTTTTTGGACTTTTACATGGGATATATTTGATATTGTGGAATTGATAAGGGATTTGTATATCTTTTTCTCACAATGTAAAATTTTAAATACCTTTGGAAGCAAATTTTTGGTTTGCTTTGGGAGAAGAGCTTTTTTTTTTTTCATGAGCATAGTAAAATTACCAAAATATTTTTTGATTTAAAAACAAATGCTTTTTTTTTTTAGGGTTTTAGCATCTTTGTATTATGATTTTTTGTTTCGTAAATTTTGGGTGGAGTCAAATGTTTTGGTATTAATAAAATAAAAATAAAAATAAAAAACTGTTAGTTCGTGATAAGAACATGCCAATATATATATGAAGGTTATGAAGGCTGTTTGCACCATTTGGACAGCATTTGACACCTCTTCTACTATGTAAAAATACCTAACTACCATCTCAGGCGAAGCATCTCAGGGCGATGCTTTTTCCTGGACCAGCTCATGTTGTCTTAAGTGCAGCTATTAGGAGGCAGCGGCTGGATTTCTCTCTCCAGCACCTAGATGAAAAATATCCTAATGTGTTGTATAATT